ATAATTTCTAGATCCACTATGGAGTCCGAGCTTATTGCTTTGGAAGTGGCTAGTAGTGAAGCGGAGTGGTTGAAAAATTTCTTAGCAGAAATTCCGGTTGGTACAAAACCAACACCATCTTAGTTTATTCATTGTGATTGCAGAAGTGCAATAGATACTGCTAAGAAAATGTGTTATAATGGGAAGAATAGACACATTCGTTTAAGACATAAAGTCATTAAACGATTATTGAAGAATGGAATTGTGTCCATTAATTTTGTGAGGTCACAAGGAAATTTAGCGGATCCTTTGACAAAAGCCCTAGGACGAAAATTGATAACCGAAACATCTAAGGAAATGGGGCTTGTGTCACTTTGAAACAAATGAGGATGGGAACCCAACTTGTGTGATTGGAGATCCCATGAAGCAAGTTCAAATGGGTAATAACAAGTCTTCCATTTAGTTCTGCTAGCCTAACTAAAATTGCCCATTTCCATGATGTGAGATATATGCTAGAAACCGCTTCTTTGAGAGGTTGAGCTTAAAGCTCTTAATGATTATCATAGCCCTTAATTTTAGGGTGGTGTGCAAAAGCGGTACACACTTGATGATATCACCTATATGAGTGTGAGGTGGGGCCGCCTCTATGAAGCATGACAAAACTTCTAGAGCACTCATGAAAACCAAGCACGCGCATGGCCTTACGGCGCACAACGGCGTAATAACGAGAAATTGTGCGGGATGAGACACGACCGTTAAGACACTGATTTACCAATAGTAGCTTGTTGGTTTCAAGAAACTATATGTTTCACCAAAAGCTCGGTTTATTAAGACTTAATCGTCTCGGTTGGGTTTCAAGTCTACGGACACCAAACTTAAAGTCTCATTTCTTTAATCTAGCAGAAATTTTCTAAAGTAGTTTTGAATCTAAAAATATTCATTTGAAATATGTGGGGGATTGTTGAAAAAATTGAGAGTATTTCAATCGAATAAAACTTTTCTTGTTTTTATAATTATCTTAAAACATTTTAATTTTATCAATGGTGCTAATAGATGTTACGTTACTTTCCAATCAAATATTAAAAATGCACCTGCGAGCTACTATCTTAGTGGATATGAGCTAATGTCTTTCATTAATATTAAATGTACAAGTTTAATTCTACAAATGTCTAATCCTTCCTTATCTTTTAACATTCGAACGTTGATAATCATTTAAACGTTTTTTATTTTCATAAACGGTTTCTATCTGGCATGCAAAAAGGTTGGCAACGTTCGAAATCCTCCAGTATAAAATCGACTGCATCACTGTTTATTTCAGTGGCGAAAAACAGAAACATCTCTAATTCTATTCTGATGGATTAATATATAATTTTAACTCTCATTGTTCTGTTGCCGACTTACGTCGAAGAGCTCGTTTAATCTTGGGGAAAGGTTTTCGCTAGTCGGAAATACTTTCTTGAGGACAGCATTCACGCATCTCGAGCTATTTTGTTTTCTGACACTTTTTGCAGGTTTATCCGGCCGAATTTCCACCAACAACCCTCCATCATTACTTTGGTCTCCAACAATCTCTCTATTTCTCGAATTTATCCTTTCCGTCAAACTCTATTCGTCGCACATGATGACCAACTCCAGCCAACCCCTGCGATCCCCATATCTCTCAGGCCATCAATATCCAAAGTGGACTAGCAACAACGGGAGCCAACACGGGTTCAGACGTTAACAAAGTCAACGTAACCAATGCAATCCCCAAAATTAAATGAAACTCCTTGTCATTGTTATTTTATAATAAAACTATTTACAAATAAAATATATGACGTTCATATGTGATAAAAGAAATATATAAAATTAGGATAAACATTATGTAACATTTATATTCATCCATTGAGCATTACACAACATGATTAGTTTAGCAGTAAGGAAATAAAAATTTAAATTACTATAAAAAGTAAAGCATTATATTAAATGAATATTGTGTACGCAAAAGATTATATTCTTTGGGTCCACATTTCAGAAAAGTCAAATGAAATAATAACTACATAGTCTTGATTATTGGAAAATTGTCAAATAAACCCTCATAGTATATATATATATACAAATTTTTATATTATATATATATATATATTATAATATATTTATATTATAATCTGGAAACAGTCTCTCTGTGCTTTAGTACAGGGGTAAGACTACGTACATCCGACCCCCCTTACCCTACCGTAGGTGGGAGCCTTTGCGGCACTGGGGTAATGATAATAATGATGAGTATATATAAAAATTGTCAGTTAAGCTCTCAAACCTAAAAAACACTCAATCAAGACCATGAACTTTAGAAACACATCTAATTTTATAATCTAACAAATTGATTCGCGATTAATAGTCATTGTGCTTACGTGGCTAATTTTATTGTTTTCATTTCTGTTCCTTTTCTCCTTCATCTTCCACCTTCCTTCTTTGGATCCAATCCTTTTTATTTCTTCTTCCACTCCTTCTTTCTTCTCCCATTGGTAACCCCACCCTCCCAATCCAGTTCCGTCGAGCTCGCCAACAAGTTCCCAAACCGGCTACAAGTTCTCCTCCTCCCTCTTGAAATTCAATGGTCTCTACTCACTGCCAGCCAGACATCCCAATACGTTTTATGCCCCCCATTGTGAAAGAGATGTAGACTGTGCTCTCGTTGGGATAAAAAAGTATGAAGTTAATGTTAGACGATGGATCAAACTTCTTATTCTTATTGAAGACGACAAAGAGGAACACAATGAGCTTGTCTTTTAGTCTAAGATGGGCCACACAGTCGGTGCGGATTCTCCAGAACAAGTTTCCGCTGTACACGAGGCGAGAACAACGTTGTCCACACTGGTTGAGCTAAGCGGAATATCGTTAGCCATGCGATTCACGACACATGATATTTCCGAATGAGTTAGAGGTAAATAGTTGTTACGAATAAAGAAGAAAATATGAAATAAAATCATGATAGTAAGCAAGTTAATGATTTTTATATGATACTTCCCTTACAATTAATATTAGTATCAACATATATGAAGTTTTCCCCTATATGTAATAAAATATTACATATATATTTAAAAACAACAATATATTACCAAAATAAAATTAATTTACAAAAATATGACTAATAGTTACTAAAATGTAGTGTTATGGTAACTTATGTTTATAAAATGAACATAGGGAAAAATACCCCAATATTAGTAAAACTTAAGACTTTTCCTAAAATATGACCACACATGTTTTTGCACCTATCGTATGATCAAATTTAACATGGCATACATGGGTTCATGATAAAACACATGCGGATAAATAGGAAGACATATTAACTTCCTATATCTACAATTGCTAGAATTAGAAAAATGAACTAGCATGCACCACAATCGGATCGGCATGCACAATATACGGATGCTAGAATAGGAAAAATAGGATTACACTCATATATTGGGAAAGATATATTCTTTTAGTAATATTAGTGGTAAATACTCTAGTCACTACCATGATTTCATTAATACTCTAGTCACTAGTCACATTTTTTGTAAATAATGTTTATTTTTGTCATAAATATGTATTTATTTCATATATTTATTTTACGAATTTTCCAAAGTTCATATATGATATAATTAAGAATTAATGGCACAAATATTACTTCTCATCTTTAATTGGACAAAAATATGACTGAAATTTTGTTTTACAAAAAATGATCGGTCGACATCCAATTACGATTGACAAGCTTGTTTGGTGCTTGTCAGAGATCTAAAAATCCTCTTCTCCAGCTCTTCTTCGCTCGTTACTTCCTCGCACGAGGACATCCATGGAGGCTATCAACAAGCTTCTCACATCAGTTTGTCCCTGCTTCTCACCTCCATCGTCGACCATGAGTCCACCGACGCGACACTATCGAAGCTGACGAAGACCACCGATGCGATGCCATCAGAAGAAGACGGAGACCACCGGTACGATGGCGATGGTCAACAACGACGACCTTCTGGGACGTCGATGCTAGATTTATCTTCTTCTTCACTGTTTCTTTCATCGTCTCTGTTCATTAGCTTCAGATCTGTAATCAATATCAGATCTATGATTGCTAATTGTCTTGACATGGGGCAGAGTGGTGGCTGCTGGGGCTAAGGTGAGTTTCAGAGGAGATAAGGGGCTGGGGCGAGGAGGGCGGTGGTTGTTGGGGTAAGGATGCACTACTAGGCGGTGTTGGGGGCGGATCGTATTGGCGGGTGCCAGGGGTGTTGGACAGATTTGAGCTTGTTTTGGGCTGGGGGCTGGGGAAGTGGTTGGAGGTGACTGGCGGAGGGGATGGGGAAGGGTGCGACGACCGGGGAAGAGGGTAGGGCGGGGAGTGCATTTGAGCAGGAGCCGAGGAGGGTTGCTGGGGGCAGGTAAGGGGTAGGACAGGGGCAGGGGCAGGGTGCTGGGGCGAGGAGGAGGGGCAGGGGTAGATGGCAACGGGTGGATGTTGACGGTAGATGGCACAACAACGGGTGGGATGGTGGCAGTAAATGGCATTGCAGCAGATGGAATGGTGGCGGTAGATGTCGTAAAAAGTAGCCGACAACATAGTGACATGGTTAACGACACAGTGACACGTTTGACGGTGGAAGTGACATATAAAATTGACATGAAAACCGGCAGTGACATTTAAAAGTGACATGAAAACCGGCAGTGACATTCAAAAGTGACATATGCTCAATGACATAAAAATTTAATAGTGACATAAATCTGGCCGACACTATGTTTTTCCAAATATATGACTTTCTTGATCACATTTTTGATCTTTTGTAAAAATGGTCACTTTTTGAAAAATTGACTCTAAATAATAATATTCAAGTAAAAAGCCCAATAATTAAAGTAAACACTTTTTTTTTTCAATTAGATTTGTTTTAGTAGCCCTAAATATACTTGATTTGAGTTCATTATATTTTGACACACCAAATATTAGCTTATATGCATAATTTTGTTCAGTCCATTTTAACCCAACATATAAACGAACCAACCAACCCAACCCAACCCAATAAACAACCTACACCTCAGCCGACCTGCCACTCCCTCTGTGATAGCACCGATATCATTTCCTTCGTTCCACTATCGCCACTCTCCTCCCATCCCACACCGCCAGAGATTTTATACCCGCTTCCATGGATACCCCGCCAGCCCCTTCATGGCTAATTAGCTAAACAGATCTACTCTACTATTGAATCACGCTCGTCGATCTACCACAGAAAGACGCAAAGTACCGGCCATCTTTCATCGGTTCAGTAGTGAAATCTCCAGATTGGTAGGCTTTCATATGATTATATACGTTAAAGTGCATGTTTATGTTTCATACCAATGTATCCTAAAACCCAAAGGTCTGGTACTGATTTCATTTTCCATTCTTCTGTGATGATATCCAGCCAGGATTCTTACTCACGAACACCTTGAGGGCCATCAAAATTAAGTTTTTTTTAAAGAAAATAAGTTTCTTGTTTTTCCTAATGTGTATGACAATCGTTAGATTAAAAGTTATTTTTATTTATTCGTTTTTAATTGCTACAAGTAACAATTTTGGGTAACCAACAGTGAGCTGGACCTTACACAAATAGATTGTAATTCCTTAACAATCCATTCTTACTTTACACATGTGAACTAACTATTTTTCCTTATTATCATAACTGGTTCCCTGCAATTAAGAGCAGTAGTATTGAACTAATATCACTCAACGTTTATCAAAACAGTATTGAACCCCCTAAATGTAGTGTTTTTCGATCCTCATCTCACTCAAACAAATATATGCTATTTGTTGAATTTGTTATCACCCTAAATCAAACAGACTGCCATTCTTTACATCCTATTCTCACTATAAATACATTTCAACTAAATTAACTGCTTTACCATAACTATTGAAAAAACTAACATAAATACTATATACGGAGTGTGATTTTTCTATAATTAAGGAGCAAACCTATCTAACTAATTTAGCACTCCTTAGTCCTTACTGTACACACACATGAACTAACTCTAAGTGGAAATAGAACTCAAGTCTACCTATAATCTTAAATTCAGCCCACTTAAACTATACATAGTATTTTTTAATGTTAATTTTGTATTTTATTTCTCAAAACATGCATTCTGCAATATTGTCATCAAAATATTTTACCTCTAAATCATTCTATATATATATATGTATATGCCTTCACAGCGAAACAAAAGTCAACCATGAATCGAGTTAATTGTCTAATACATATATAAGTTAAAATTTGTATGTAAGTATTGCTAATTATACATTAAAGACAAATTTAACTATACAGCTAAAGTTATATTTGCCCTAACCAGAGACAGAAACCGAGCTTCTCTTAGCTGTGGATTTAGTTAGTTGAACCATTTCATTAACATTCAATCAATAGTAGTTCTTTATCCTTATTCCTTAACCTGAAACTTCTAAAAATCATTCATTATAGAAAAATTACTTTTTTTGTTTGTATAATCTTATAAAATAATATGTAAATAGGTTTACACATCACTCACACATAAGATGATATGTTTCATATTGCAGACTGAGAATGAAAAAGAGGATGAGAAGAGGTAGAAGGATTGAGTTTTGACACATCTAGGAAAGTATTTGCTAGGTAGTGGTAGTTATAGAAAAATGAATGATCTTTTCATAAAGAAAATACACATGTCCAGAACAGGTTGGCGAGATTTGATTGGGTAAAAATACACTTGCCCCAATGAACAGGCTGTGAAGATTTTATTGGTTGAAAATGCACCCGTCCCGATGAATAGGCTGGCTAGATTTCATGGCCCGTATTTTTATAAATGTAATTATATTTTATGTATATTTTGTGCACAATCTCCAAGAAACAGGCTGTCTGGACTTGATTGGGGTTGTTTATAGCTGATATGATTTTTTAGTTAGTATACAATATTCTGTTCAATATTTCTACTTTTGAGGCTTTCATCAGGCGGACTCGTGTGGTGCTCTATACCATGGGGGGATGTTTGGGCAGAAACACTGTTCACAATACATTTTGCTTTTATATGATTATAGATTATAGATTGTTGTTGTTGTTGTTATTATTATTATTAGTTCATTACTATTATTATTACTATTATGACTATAATTCCCCAAATAATTATATGTAGTAGAATGCACCACAATTACTATATTTATTATTATTATCATATTCTGATTTCATTTTCTAAGTTTCCATATGTGATTTGATGCAAATGGGTACCATTTTTTGTTTCAGTAATACGGAGTATTTAACTCTTAACATAAGTCTAGAGTTCAAGACCATAAATGTCTAGACATATGCTGAAATTTTATTTAATGCATGTCAGCAAAAACTAAGTCAATTTGGAAACAAATCATATAAATATTGATTTTCAAACGATACTGTATATACACAAAAATATTCGAGAATCATACATTTGTAAACATGTTTGTATATTACTTTTATAATATTTATAAATTAAACCCAGTGCATTGGAATACTAGTTTTCGTTGAAGGAAGGAAAACATATTCTATTAGGGTTACATTAAGTAAAAGTAATGGTGCGCCAAGCAACACCCTTTGATAAGTAATGATAATTAATTAATTCTTTTTAAAATATGAATAATAAAACTTTTTTTTTTTCCAGGTACACAGGTTTACAAATTCGGAGATTTAACGCTATCGACCCTAATTTCGGAGCTCCAATTCTTAGCCCAAATCGAGAAACTAGGATGAGTATGAAGCATTTCTTTTTCAGAAGAACAATGAAATGCTTAAGGAAGCTCAATAACAGTAGGTTTTCATCTACACACCCACATTTCCCCCGAAAATACACAACCACTCCATCTTCCATATCATTGCTGTTTTCTTCCAACCGTGGTATACATGTATTAGTCAGTTCTCAGTTCTCAGAATGCCAAAAGTCCTGGTCGAATTTTAGTTCTAGATTTTTTCACACTGCTAATGAAGCTATTCTAACTGATTCTGAGACCGAGTCAGAGGACGATGAGGATTCAACTACAAATGAGTTTCTATCGAGATTTGTTTGGATAATGCGGAAGAAGCTGAATGAATTTTATCCTGAAGAGAATAAGAGGACAATTGATGGGATGCTTCTGATCATTGTCGAGAAAGTCGCTTCTGGTTTGGGAAAAGATGGACTTGACCAGACTATTGGCCAGGCAACAGATGCCCCCGACCCAGATTTTAGTCCGGAATTGTGGAGAACAGTTTTGGAGGTGAGCAATTCAGTTTTGGATGATATGCAGAAAGCTATTAGGAAGGAGAAACTAAAGGGATTTCTTCAATCAGAGGAAGTGAAGGAAATGTACAGGTTTGCTGGAGAAATAGGCATCCGAGGGGAAATGTTGAGGGAGTTGAGGTTTAAGTGGGCCCGCGAAAAGATGGAGGAGAGTGAATTTTACAAGAACTTGGATCGGTTAAGGGAAGAAGACACAATGGCAAGGACACTAGAAGAAGAAGAATCAAAGTCTATAACTTTAGATAGGGGAAGTGTTGGGGAGGATGCTATTACTGAGGATCCATCATCCCTAAGGAAGGTTGTCACACTCCCTAAGAGGCATGGGGAGATCAAGTACAAAATTTATGGTCTTGATTTGTCTGGCACTAAGTGGGGCGAGGTGGCTGATAGAGTTCACGAGGCAGAATCCATTATTTCGCCGCAGGAACTGAAGCCCATATCCGGGAAGTGCAAACTTGTTACAGAGAAAATTCTTTCATTGCCTGAGCATAATGATCATGCTCCTCTCTTAGCTGAATGGGTAGATTTGCTCCAACCTAGTAGGATAGATTGGATAAGTTTGCTTGACAAGATAAAAGAACATAATGGTCATTTATACTTCAAGGTATGCCCTCCCATGCACCACATTTAGTTGGTTTATGTTTTATACTTTTCCTGTATTGTGTATTTGTGTTTCAATGGGTGTATCTTAGTTTAAAAAAGCGCATCCTTGCGCGTAGTCGCGACTAGGCGCAACCGTGAAAGGAGCAGAGACGTGATGGGAAAACCGCAACAGAAAAATTAGGTGCAGCAGATTCCATAAAGCGTGCGCTTTCCTCGCTTCTTTCAGCACTTTTGCGTCTCAGGAGGCGAACACGTTAGCCGCCCGAGTGATTCTTGTAAATTTAACGGTTTATTTGCTGTAAGTTTCCTATATTCTTGTCTGCAGCGCAGTACTCCCAGAGTCCAAGACCATTCTATCTCTTCTCATTTATCACAAATCAACCTCTTCCCTGCTTTATTATCTGCAATTGTTTTGATGATTTATTTGGGAAGTATCTAATAAGATGTCACGTACTTCCAAAGTCCAAAACCACTCCATCTCATCTTATTATTACAAATCAAACTCTTCCCTTTCACTTCGCATGCTTCACTCTTTTATGCAAGTTTTTTTTACGTCCTTTCTTCTCTTAATCTTTTCATATTTTCCCACTTCTCTCAGTTTATTAGTATTTTCCCTATGATCTGTTCTGCTTGATTCATGTGCTTTTGCTCCAATCACAGGTAGAACAGTTTGTGCTCTTGTCTCCTTTATTCTTTGTAAATTAATTATTTGACTAGTCTTTGTGCATGACTATGGGGGTGTTTGGAATTGATTCTGCTTTTGCTTCTTTTTTAAAAGTAGAAGTAGAATCAGAATCAGTTTTCCAGAAGTTAGTCTCCCCCACCTTCTAAACTACTGCTTCTAGGAGCATTTTGGTCTTTGGAGCACCTAGAACTTCTGCACTTTCACCCCAATACCTGCTTTTGCTCCAGGAAGGAGCAGAAGCGGTTTTATGAAGTAGATCCTAACACCCCTATATATGTTACTGACCTAGTTTTGTGTTCCCAGCAAACTAAAGTTAACATTAAAATTCCAATTTATAACTACATGCCTTCAAATACTAGAATTCCTAAAGCCAATTTGTAATCTTTATTTTGATAGTCTTAAAACCAGAAGCCTTAATATAATCTTTCTTATTGTAATCGGCAATCCGTAATTTGTAACCACTCTCATAGCCTTTAAATTAGAAGATTTAATGTTTTAAACATGTGATTAAGTATGTAACTAACTGATATGTTTTAATTTTTAAAGTCTAGGACACATTAAATTAGTAAATTTTGAACTTCACAACTTTAGTTAAATCACTATACTTTGAAGTCCAGAAGACATTAAATCAGTAACTACTGAATGTTTATTTTGTTTCTCTTGTGACCAATTTTGGTCTTCAAAACGCTTGTTTAATGGCTTGTCACTTGTGGGATTTTTATGAATTTATCATTATTTTTGGGCAGAAGGTATCATGTACAAGTTATATCATTATTTTAGCAAATCTGTATGTTTAAGTTCTGTGAGACATGCACCTTTGCCTTGTGCCTCACGCCTTGGCAGATTTTAACAAAAACGCCTCATCGCGCCCCACGTCTTTTGAAACTAAGGGTTGTATGTTTCAAGTATTGACACAAATATTCTCCTCATGTGTGTTTTACCATGTCCAGAGCTGCTTATGCCATGCTGATGTGACATTTTATTCCGTTATGCGATGTAGTTGTGATGACTATTGATAATTATTGTGATTATTATTATTATTATTAATATTTAATACTCAGTGATGTGAAAATGTGCTGTTTTGATCGATGCTATTGAGTAAAAATTAGATTTAGTTTTACGTAAATTTCATATTTGTAATTCACTGAAAACTTTTAATTGCTGGGTAGTGGGTACATGTAGTTTATAGTGCATAAACGTTCGTGAATCTAATGAAATGAACAATACATACTTCCGAAAAAAATACAGGGAGACCAGGATCGGAGCGGACCTGTTATTCCAGTAGTGCAGCTACCAATTAATTAGATGCTTAAAAACACACATTTTGCTTAAGTCATGCTTTTTTGTAGTATTTAGCTTGACTATATTATCTTTCAAATCTATAAATGAGGGTGAAAACCCCTCTAATTTACACGTATTTGAATCCGAAGGGCTTTGGCTCAGGGATTCTGGAGGGGAGGGTGATTTTTTGTCTCACAAATTTACTCCTAGTTGTTAGTTGAAGACTAAATATTACCATTTTTGTAGTTGGATCATGTATTTTATATAAATATACGTTAGTTGTTTTCACATAAATATATTTAAACATAAATATCACCCCTCTGTCAAGCGAGTATCTGTTGATATCCAGAGCGGATATCAAGTTGAATTGAAGTTTTGGCTCCATGTAGCTTATCCACAAATTCATTGGTGACTTGAGTAGGAATTTTATCAATAATTGTTTTGGAATCAAGTTCACGGTAGTCCACATAAAATTGCCATGCACCCTCAGGCTCTCTAATGAGCAGAACTTGAGAAGAAAATGGGGAGCAACTTGTCTGAATGATACCTTATTCCAACATTTCAGAACATTGCTACTCGATCTCATTTTTTTTGAAATTACCGGTAATGGTAAGGTCATACAACTAATGGATTATGCCTCGTAATAACGAAGTTCAGCGACTAACTGACCATGAGATCAGAGTGGCATCCCCGTGGGTGGTCGGATTATGTTCTGGGATGCACCTAGAGGCCCTCTAAAATCTAAATAATATGCCTTATGGGTCAGGTGTGCTATCAAGGCTGGGGAAGTGGTGGGTGAGTACCGATTCTAATCGTTGATGGACAAAATTATGGGCGTTACTCAGTTTTACCAAAACTGCAATGGGTGGATCTCTAGGCGGGCTGCAAGTTGCATTGTTGACATGGTCCAAATCTTCTACGGTTTGTTCCTCAGAGCTCATGCAGTTTCACCGCGCCACCCAAGCCATTTATAAGCCCGATCCATAAAAGCATCTGCAATACACTCTTTCTCCTTTCCCTAAAAAATCTCCGAACCAATAAAGCCCTAGTTTTTAGTATCTCGTTTATTATGGGGTGTTTGGTTGATATGGAGGGTGCATGTGGGAGTGAAACTTAAATTCTATGTGAGCAAAATTAGAAGGAATTAAGCAGGAATTAAAAATATGTGTTTGGTTGGTAGGAATTTAAACACTTGAAATATAGTGTCGTGTTCGGTTAACCATGGAACTGAGTTGGAATAACTTCTACAATGATCCAAAATCTAAATGTGCTCATCTAAAATAAATTATATTATAATTAACTATAGGGAAAACAGTTTTAATAGTATCAACTATCGCTGATCAACCAATTATAATACATACAGAGTACTATAGAAATTACTATTTGATTCCCCAAGCTATTCAAATTTAAATAAAAAATTATACACAGCCACTTTTCGACCTCAAATCAGGCTATTTAACCTCAAAATGATATTAACCCATCAAGTAAGCTTTATTTGATGGTCTGATACAAGTTTTTGATGAATTAAATAACCACATATGAGGTTGAAAGTGACTTGGTATTATTTTATTATAAATCTGAATATGTTGGGGGTGTAAAATAGTAAATTCTATAGTATGTGTTATTATTGATTGATCAGTGATAGTTGGCATGTTTTGAAGTAATTTTCATAAAGTATAATATAAAACATGGTAGAAATGTAGCTCTATAAATACTAGAATTGCAAATATTTGGACATGTCAAATATTTTGAATTTCATATTTTTATGGAATTAGATTCTGTGGAAATCAAAATACTCCCAAAGATCCAACCAAACAAGGGTAAAATTGACTTGAGAATTAGGAGGGAAAGGAATTTAAATTCCTCCCAACGAAACGTGGTGCAAGTGTTTATCTAAGACTATCTCCTCTCGGTACTTTCATGCATTTTCTAAATTTCTCTCTAACGACTCACATTCTTTAGTGGTATTTGGCCTCTTCTTACTTGCATCTTTTTTTGAATTGATGTATTTAGATTGCAGAATATGTTCTGGGCGAAGAGTCCTTCCAAGCAAATCAACTTGACTACTGGAAGCTCCTTGATGCATATGCTAAAGGGAATCAATTCCATGATGCTGAGAGAATTGTGAAAAAGATGTACGACAACGGGTTTGTACCTGACGTCCTTACATCAATAACTATGGTTCGATTGTACTGCAAAGTAGGGAATGCTGAGCAAGCAAACAAGATGTTTGAATATTTGAGAGAACAAGGCTTCCAACCTGATGCGAAGATGTATAACTCCATGGTAATGGTCTATGTCAATGCAGGCAAACCAAAAGAGGGCGAGATATTCTTTAGGGATATGCAGATGAAGGAAATCGAGCCACCGCGAGAGATATATATTGCTTTAATGAGATCATTTGCTCAGCATGGTGATTATGACTCGACGGTAAAAATATCCACTTTTATGCAGTTGGCTGGATTTCAGCCTGATTCAGAATCCCAAGCACTAATCGTTGATGCATACGGGAAGGTTGGAAAATATAATGAAGCTAGGAAACATTTTGATCGCCTGTTGAGATTGAAAGCCAAGCCAGATGATAGATGTACAGCTAGCATGATTGCAGCGTATATGAAGGGGAATTGTTTGGACACGGCTGTGGATCTTCTGCTTCAGCTCGAGAAGGATGGTTTTGAACCGGGAGTTGCTACTTACTCTGTTATGGTGGATTGGTTCAGTAGATTACATCTCATTGATGAAGCTGAACAGGTCGTGGATAAGATTGCTAGGATGGGTGAGACGCCTCCTGTCAAAGTCAATGTTAGTCTTTGTGCAATGTATGCAAGGGGTGGGGTTGAGAAGAAGGCTTTGCAAGCTCTTAGTGTTGTGGAGGCCAATAAGGAGTGTTTGGAAATGGAGGACTTTGACAGGATCATAGAGGGACTTGAATCTGGCGCATTCATGCGTGATGCTCAAAGGATTCGCAAATTGAAGGAAACCCGAGGATAGCTCTATAGAATTGTTTTTATTGTTAATTCACCAAGTCTAAGCCTCTACTGTTATATTCACGAGAATGTAAGCTTGATGTGTCCTAAAGTCCCGGACATGTCATCCGCACATTTTGCAAGGCAACAACTTGATAACCTTATATTCAACAAGCTCATCAAGTTCATAGCTTGTTCTCATAACTCATCTTTTCGGCTGTGTTACAAGAACCGGACTGGACCAGACGGGCTGACCTGGAAACTGGCGACCCGTCATTCCATCCGGTCTGACTGCTTAACAACTCTTTTAATTAAGTTAAAACCCGGGACGGCCCAACCCGAAAAACCACTCTGACTTGGACCGGACCCGGGACAGCCCAAACCCGTTAAAACCGGAAAATATCTGAAATTAGACCCCAAAATTATAAGTCTCCTACTGGAAATTGATACGTGGTCTCCTGCAATGCACCCGGATGGCGTCCCACTCTACCACTGCCACAAGTTGGTCTCCCATGTTCCTACGTAATACTCCGTACAACATAATTATACCATTCATATCTATCCTAATTCCTAAATAGCAAGTCAAAGTGTTGTAAATTATTATTTAACACATGATGAATATGGAGTATATAATAAATACTACTCCGTATAATAATGGTCCATGTATGATAAAAATAATAATAATGGTCCAATGGTCCATGTTACTGGCTTGTTGCTATCATTATACTTCCCTATTATCTAAATAACATTCCAAATATTTGACGTTTATAAAAACAATTTTGACATTATTTTCTTGTATAAATATTCAAACATATCACACACATTTCTCTGAAATATAAATGAAGATTATTACTTACTCTAAATTTTACTTCGTATGTGTTTTTTCAATGTTTACTAAGTATTACAGTTAGGGAAAAGGGTCAAATAGACCCTCAAACTTACTTACAAAGGTCAAATAAGTCCTTATATTGGAGGCTCTGTCCGACCGTCACCATTTGGGGCAGTAAATTTGATGAAAGTTTTTGAGAATCTTATTCATCAAGATTAGTTCACTCATACCAAATTTCAGCTAACAATTCAATCGGAAAGACATTCAAATGAATTCTTGAAGATAATTGTGCTTTTAACTGCACAGTTATCTTCAAGAATTCATTTGAATGCCTTCCCGATTGAAGTTTTAGCTGAAATTTGGTATGAGTAAACTAGACTTAATGAATAAGATGCTTAAAAAGTTTCATCAAAAAATTTCACAGGGAACCACCCCAAATGGTGACGGCCAGACAGAGCCTCTTATATAAAGGCTTGTTTGACCTTTTTATGTAAGTTCGAGGGCCTATCTGACCCTTTTCCCTTACGGTTATTTCATTATTGTGAGTATAAGTTACTATTTAATTTCATGTTATATCAATATGTAGTATATGTGAAGTGATATTAATTTTTTTAAATATTGGCTGGCTTTTATTGCCGTTGACCGGGTTGACCCGCTGCGTCCGGGTTGACCCGTGACCCGGTCACCCAATCGGGTCGCTTCCTGGTATGGTTTTAATAACATAGCTTTTTGGTTGACCTTTGTGTGGACTTTCAAGTGTCTGGGCTTGATTTGGGATTTACTTCTTACTGCTAAGTTTCTTGGTGTACTGGTTGAACCATCTTGCCAATTCAAATTTATTTATTATGGTACTGATATTTTTTACTCCAGGAGGTCTGAGGGAGGGGGGCTGGGCCCCTGGAGTAATAAGGGCTGAACTCAATTCATTGAGTTTCAAACCCTTATTGTGGTATTGAAATAATGCACATTTGTTCTTTTGCTGTTAGATGAAATTTATCCTTATTTTCTATCTGTAATACATTTCATTCTTATGCAATTCAACTATTGCAGTATTTTACATTTGAGGTGGCTTTGCCCCCTGAGAACGCCATATTTTCTTCGCAATTATGACTCAATGATTATATACAAGAATAGAGTTTGAGTTACAGTTGACATTGGGTTTTTCAGTTTCTCTATCTATTTTATTTTCCTTCTGCTTTGGGCAAGGTAGAATCAATAGTAATCTCCCCTGATGAATTCATTCAGTTGCTTAACTTCTCCTCTCTGTTGCTCCACTACTGCTCGAACAATATCCGTGACCGAGATCATACCCACAAGTATCCCGTCTATCACTGGAACATGCCGTACGTGATTCTCTACGATCATAATAACAAGTTGTAATATTCTTTTGCAGTTACCAGAGTTTTGCATTTGCCCCCTTTGCATAAGGAGAATTGCTTTTTGTACAGAGTCATTTTACACGTTTTTTTTTTTCATTTTGGACAATCGTCTTTCACTGTTTCGCACCAACATTTCTTTTTAAAAAAATTGTAGGTACGAAATATGATACTTTACAAAAAGAAAAGTTTTTCCCTATGCATAGACAATTTGGTCGGTGTGTAGAATAGCGTGTTCAACTGGCGTGTACACGAAGCATAGCCGTTGCATAAATTATTAGAATTACCTGACATGATCTGCATAGCTTGTAAAATGTTCATGTCAGATGTGACCGTTATCAGTTGGCTCTGTGGCGACAAAACAGGACAGTTGGGAGAAAGCTAAGATGAAAAATACGTTTGTTGAATAAGGGAGCATCAGCTAAAAACCTGGTCAGTCATAATATCTCTCACTCTTGTGTGCTTGGATGATCTGTCTTGCACAACCATCTTCCTTACATAATCTGTTTTCCTCATAAATTTGTAACTTCATTAGGTAAGGTTTACAATAAAAGTATACCCATAAATTGAAAACTAAAAGAGGATTGATTGCATCTACATCTCAAAGTTTGTTCTATTCACCAAAATGACTCTCAAGGTTTCTGAAAATTACAAAGTAGCCCTTTGACTAATCATATTTTTGCAGACGTTCCTTTTAACACTGAGAGTAAATTATAATGATATCAAACAAGATAGTTCCCGGTCTTGGTGTCTTTAATGCATTTTATCCATTTTGTTGGCTAACATATTTTAAGATTTCTCCAAAGAGGGTCTTCGGAACAACTGTTATTGATAATATAGTATATAAAACTCGTTTCCTACTAGCATTGTTATATCATATACGAGTACCTTTTTTTGCGAAAATCTAACTAACCACATGTTTCATTTCTAATTTTAAGTAATCTCAAGAGCGGTTTGGTGTGTTGACCAAACCTCAGAGAGGTAGATGTAATAACTCAAAGAAAAAGAGTTTCAGAGATTCATACCCCTTTCTGTGATGATTCCTGCTATCTGGTGTTGGTCACCAGGCTTTAGAACCACCAAGGAGCCAATGTTGTTTTGAGCCATCTTTGTGTGTGTTAAAGTTATATTAGCATTGTAATTCTATCAAAGCTAGTAATCATGTAGCTAAGCATAGAACCATGTTAAACTTAGTGCCCGTTTGGTAAGGGGTATTTGGCTAAAATGACAGAATCTTCTGAATTTTAACGTTTGGTAACATCTATTTCAGCAAAACATGAAAGCCCAATGCTACTTATTTTGTTTATTCTATAGAATAAGATTATTAATGTTACTAAACGGGACCTAAGCTTTGATATGGAACATACTTGTTTTATGGCATTGTAAACAGTGTCTTCCATCCTACAGCTATGCATGAGCTAATATTATGTCCTTCTTTGGTCACCAATACATCTGATACCGTTGTGTTCTCGAGTCCCTTGTGCTGCATTTTTGGCGATTCCATAACCGATATGTCGTTTATGCCCTTGATCTGCCTTGCGTTTTTTGCTTGTGATTTGCCCAAAATCGTAAGCTCTAGCTTCTCGTGGCACATTCTCGCTGCCCGCAGAAGGCCTTGCATGTTTTTTGATGAAAAAAGAAAAACTAGGCTTAGGAATGTGATCTTAGTTGATAATTATTATCCCTAATTAATACGTAATGATGATATGGTGATGATTAGATGTGCTTAAATGATGACATTTCTTGATTACTTGCCTAAAGCGTGGTTGATCTACTTGTTCTTTGCTTGGATTACTAGTGTAGGAAGATGAATCCCTACAGGATTAACTTTGCCTGAAAAGTGATTTGTTCTTTGCTTAGATTACCAGGCTAGGAGAAAAGATAAAATGTAACTATCTCTTCTCTTGATTCAAATGAATAAGATATTCTTCAAACATTGCAAATAGAAGAAATAACATTTCAAGTCCTTCGAGCAAAAAATTTACAATAACTGCCATGTAACTTGTACGTTATATAATGGACTTTTTAAGCAAAACTTCTGAAATGCTGGATGTAAAATATTTTCCGTACATCAATTTGTGCATCAAAGTCCACAGATGACAGAAAATTTGCTTGTACCGGACTTTCAATTTTTCTATTTTTAATCCTCGACTATTGTGCGAGATACACTTTTAGTCATCCACTTCAAAGTCTCTCTCATTTAGTCCTCTGATTATTATCAAATTGATTAGTTATTCCACTATGATTTTGACACAAAATAGAGAGCTAAAGTGCCACTATTATAATAGTTGAAGGTCCAAAAGTATCACTTTTATGAAAGTCGAAAGACTAAATATGAATATTTTTAAAGACAGGTATCAAAAGCGTCTTTCGCACATTTTTGCCTTTCAAAAAGGAAAAAATTCAGTAATTTTTTCCGGAGACCGACGATTTCCACGAGGCAAGTGTTGTGAGAGTAGGTGGTGGGGAAAGGGTGGTAAGTAGAGCAGGAATTAGAATTAAAAGAAAAAATGTATTAATTAAATAAAAATTAGTGTCATTTTAGAAAAACTAGTCATACTTCGTCTTTAACAGTGAACAAGTAATATTTTACCATTTTCCCAAGAAGCTAATGAGAATGTAGGAGGGAGTTTGAGGCTCTAATTAGAATAGAATCCCTGCCTACTTACTTGTTAGATGCTAAACTTGGTGGAGAGTGCATTGTCTTTGTAGAATTATTTCCATCCCACGCATATTTGAGTAGTTGGTCATCCCCAAGAAAAGGTAAAGAAGCTGGAAAGCTAAATTGAAAAGTTTCTTCTTCGATGTATACTCAAAATGCAAAACATATACATATATAAATGCTTTTTGATGCCATATTTCACTACCAGATATCCAATCAACAATAACATCCCCTAAGGCCTTAAAGTTCAAATTTAAACCCATTTCTTTGTTTGTTGTTGCAAATGGCATGGATTCGTAGACTCTTTGAACCCAAAGCCCGACCCCCAACTCAACCCTCAACCGGACCAAGTCAGAGCACCGAGCAGCCTGCCGCGGCTCAAAGGCGGAAAGGGACTGCTTCACCGCAAGGATCCTCTTCCCCCACTCGGACGACACCACCTAAATCCCCATCGCGTTCCTCTCCGAGCCGCAAGGCTCGTTCTCCTCCTGCTCAGTCTCCATCACGTTTGGCACCACCTCCTACTACTCTTGCGGAGGATGCCCCTCCGTTAGGAGGAGAATCCTCGGCTAAAGTGCACCCAACGCCAGATGTGGTGGGAATTCCTCCCCCACCGTCATCTCCTACTACTCGGGGTCCCCCTTTTTTAGGAGTAGATTCCTCTGAAAAAGTGCACTCAGCACCTGAATCCCCATCCCCATCTAGGCCTTCTTCACGGCCACCCACACCACCCCGTTCCTCTCCGAGCCGAAAGCCTCGTTCTCCTCCTCAGTCTCCATCACGTTTGACACCACCTCCTACTACTCTTGCGGGGGATGCCCCGCCGTTAGGAGGGGAATCCTCTGCTAAAGTGCACTCAGCACTAGAGGCGGTAGGAATTCCTCCCCCACCGCTCACCACCCAAACACTAGTTTCGGTTCCTGATGGTGAAGTTAAGGCTAGCCAAACAGCAGTTCATGAAACCATTTCAAAAGAAAAAGAGCGTATTCAGCCACCTGACACCACCATACCACCTTCCATAGTATCTCAAAAAACGGCTGGAGCCCTCACAGATACCGCCCAGGCCAAGCAACCTTCTAATAATCAAGAATCTGATGGACTTTCTGTGGGTAGCAGCCATAGAGCAGCTCCAGAAACTGTATCAGAGCTTCAACAGACACCTGAAAAGACATTACCACCCCTCATAGTATCAGAAAAATCAACTGCTTCCCTCACAGAAAGACATCAAGAGACCGCCCCACCTCCTCCGACCTCAGACACAACCATGGGAAACAACAACCGAGAATCTCTTGGGATTTTTATGGTTTCAAACGTCCTAAGAGATAAGGAGACACTGCCAGAGACAGGGGGGGATGATCGCAATCATATTGAAGCAAAACATGAAATGGCAGAGGAACAGACTGCAAAAAAGCAGCCAGAATCAAAGGAACCGCAAGAGGAGGCGGGGCATACAGAGAAGGCATCCAATTCTGATGGACCAGAAACTAGAGAAGTGAACAATGGTAAACAGGAGAACGACAAGAAGCTGAAGCAGCAAGTGTTTATTCAGAAGACAGATAAAAGGGAGATGCAATCATCCATGGAATATGTGCTCGGGGCAGTAAAAGTGATAACGCTTGCAGGCGATAACAAAGGGGCATCCATGCAACTAGGCTTCGACCCGTCGTCTAAGAAGGAGCGTCCCATCCACATCCACAGAGCTTATAAATCAAACCACGGTGACCACCGCATTGTCGACAAGGAAGCGATCATCACCACTGATATAGAAGAGGCGGGAAGAAAATCCAACAGCCAAGAAACCAACCAAGAACAGGAAGTTCTGGCTGTTTATGTCAACTCCAACGTTCAAGGACTGAACAATGCGATCCTGGTAGACTGCACAATCACAGAAAGAAACCCTGGGGTGAGTATGCACATACCATCATGTTTGCAAACAGAACCTGTGAACTCAAATGACGAAACAGCCCCCATTCGAACTCACGAGGCTGTTCAGTTGAAAAAACTTGCACATGAGGCACAACCTACTCTTAGAAGGAGGTGCCTTAGAGGTCTTCTTTTGGAGAGTGATTCTGAAACAGATAGTAACCCTTCAAAGCGCCCTCGTCGCCATGGTTGTCGTGTTGGTTGCAAGGATAAGTAGATAGTAATAATACTAACATGTGTACATAAAAGTTACACCTACTGGATTGATCAAATGGTGGAATTGTAATAAGATGGCACTTTCATTACAAAGATTGTGTTTTTTAGAAGTCGTTTCAAGAAAGGCTCAAAGTCTAAAACATACGTAGCGTACAAAATTCTCAAATAAAACTAATTATGTTTTATTCCCAAAATATGACTTATTTGATCTTAATTAAAAGTACCCCAAATGATGACACAGTCTTAATGGTAGAGAAGAGTATCTTTTACCAATCATTAGTAATAGGGGACATAATGAATCACTATTATACATAGTACGAAGTACTTCCTCGATAGTTGCAACATTGCACTATTCACACATCTTACTTTGACCACGATTTCGACTAATATATATATAACCAAATTATTATCTATAAAATGTTACTACTATTAAATTTCTATTAATGTAACTTCCAAAATATTAACTTTTTATAATGTTTACTAATATGTAATTAAATATAATTACAATCAAAGTTGTGCGTTTATTCCCTTATTTTATGTGGATTTTATTATTAGTATTAAAATAAATAGTATGTAAAACTATTTATTTGTTGAGTGATTTGATTGGCAAAAGATATACTTATACTATCCCCCGTTCTTTAATAGTTGCAACAATTTGCATGACTTTTACGTTTACATACGCACAACTTTGACTGAATGTCCCTAAAATTATTTATAGTTGATCACGTTGGACCATTATTGGCGGAAGGTCCATAAAGTTGAGATTATTCTGAAATAATCGATAGTTAGGATTATTATAAGCGGACCGCAAATAGTTGGGATTATTGCAATCAATTTTTCCTATACTTTATCGGATTATATAAAAAAAATCAATGCAATTAAAATGATGTTTTTGCATCAACAAACATCTATTTTATTAACTGACCCGAAGGACATACTTTAGATAAACAAAACAAAAACTATACATATGTTTGAATCAATTAGTGTTTGTTCTCCTAAACTTGTGCTGGAATTTGAGGACTCATACAATTAATCAACGATGGTTCTCCCCAAAATTGTGCTAGAATATGAGGACACACAATCAATCACTTTAGAGCGATCCCTTATGCCCGATGAAATGATATATACTATCGTATATATACTCTTTTTTTTTCTTTTTGTGAGGTGAAAGAGTAAAATTACTCCGGCTAGATGGAAACGTACCTATTTTTTCATTCCATTCTTACCCTTTCTTTAAATATGAGTTAATTAAATGTTTAATTCATAATAAATTCGAAAAAAATTCAAAAATTCGTAGAAAATAATTAAAAAATTTATAAAATATTTATAATTTTTTAAAAAAAATTAATAAAAAAAGTAAAACTCCATAAAAAAATTAAAAAAATATGGATGCCTTTCCCGCCGCCTGTACTACCTCCCTGCACCACCGTCTCCGGCCGGTGAAAAAAATGCAATTTTCCCTAAAAATTGCCATTTTTTCCCCTGAAAATGCCAAAACCATGACATATTTCTCATTGAGAATGCCAACAATTTCATTGTTTTCTGCCATTCGTAAATATGGCATTCATAATGAACTTGACATTTTTTCCCATGGTGACTGGAGGTGGTGGTGCAGAGGCGGCAGAGGCGGCGGTGAATTTTCTTTTTTTTGAAGTTTTTATTTTTTTATTTATTTTTTATTTTTTATTTTTTATAAATAAATTATTATTATCGAAATATTATATTTTTATTAATTTCTAGTATTTTTACGAATTATTATTATTATTTTTTATTTTATTATGAATTAAAACATTTCAATAGCTATACGGGTATATTTGTCCAAGACACACATAATTAGTCCTATGAAAATATAGTTTATTTTTTGGTCCTATTTGTACAAAGTGAGTGACTTTTAGTCTATTTTGATAATTAACCCTACATTTTTTTTGGGATGAAAGGTAAGTATATATAAAAATCACCCAAAAGTAACAAATACATGTATAAAAAATAACTCTATCTAAGCTAGCAAGCTAACCTAAAAAAAGAATCTACCGTGTCTCCCCCCACCTTGCGGCAGGGGGAGGAGAGAGATTTTTTTGTAGTCCAAAAGACATCGCAAAAAAAATACAATCCAAGAATGGTACGGGACAGTCCCCGACTCATTCATAAAAAATACTTCAAAACCCCGGTCCGAACCAATGAAGGCCCATCATTGGGAAAATCTAGCAAAAAAATCAGCAATTAAGTCATCCAAGCTTCCTAACTTCTGGTCCAGTAAAGCCCAGCGTCAAAGTCAAGCAAACACAAAGAGCCTGGGCCGTGAGCTTATAAAAAACCCAGGCCAGCTCACATATCCGCATCTCTTCATTCAGCTCAGTGACCACGGCCCAAACTCACGCTATCCGTACTCCAGGAGCCTTTGCAGCCCTTCATCCGTAATAACTCTGCCCAAAAGTCCCGACCCAACAGCCATTTGGTCAGGAGCTAGCGTTATGGCCCAGCACACCAACGCTTCAGCCAAGCGCCGCACCAAGCTGAGCGCCAAATTTGAAAATCAAAATTCAAAGTTGACCACGACAACTGTCAAGCAGTCATTGCACACGTCACCTCTGTCGCTGACCCCACCCCCACCGGTCCCGGCATCATCCCGGCGGCAACGGCGTGTCACGAAAACTAGTCGGAGTAGTCACCAAGCCCAACCGAAAATTCCCCCATCACCCCCACCCCCGTTGGACCCCGACGACCCCCAACGGCCCCAGTAGACGGCGACAGACGGCGATCAGACAGTAGCCGGAAACAAAAACAAAAATCACAGCAATCCTCACCTCTCGAAACGAAACCAGTCGCCTTCCTCCGATGTGTACCCACAACATCTTTAAAGAAATTCAAACCCCAAAGCCAGAATTCACAAGATACGAAGTAAAAGGAGTGTAGTTCATCACAAAACACCAAACGTCCTCAAAGCTAGACAAGATGACGAACAAAGAAACCTTACCGGAGTAAACATTTCCCGTTTTCAAACGACGAATCGCCGGTGGCTGCGAACTCCAGATCCAAGGCATTGGCCCAGTCTAGGACCCGTAACGAAGCAGAGTGAGGTGGTGGCCGCATGAAGGTCTGCACCGGTATCCCCATCACCAGAGCTGCCACAACCCATGATGGGGAAAACCATGACCCGGAGCTGCCACTAAAAACGCCACCACTCATGATGGGGGAAACCACTGCCAGTTCAAAAGTGCAGGGAGATGAACGAGCAGGCTACTTAAACATTCCGGGATCCTAAAAAGCCGTTGACAGGCGTCCCCTCCACCTGTTCTCCAGCTTCAAAGGGGTTCCCCAACCTTTCCAGTGCCAAGTCCAAGAACGACACAACTGCACCACCGGAGGGTTTACACCCTGGTTGTGAATGAAAAGAGAAAGCTGAGGGCGAACACAATGTTCGTCGTTTGAAGCACAAACCGACAGTGAAGACCACCAGACCCTATCTAGCTGAATCTGCTTGTGGCTCATGATTTGCTCGCATCCCTGTTCTCCGGCCTAGGAAAACCGGCCAAGGACTACAAGTTCCAGGATTACCAAACTCCACCAGTACCACCGTACGTCCTCATCTTATGCAGAAAGAACATCGTATTCACGCCGGTCTTCTCCAGTCATCTTCTCCGGTAGATTTTCGACGGGGAAACCTGTGCAAACCCGTAGGCCAAATCCCCAACCTTCCGGCACCAAACCTCCATGGCCAACCCGTTCACCTCCGTCGCTCACCCAAACTACTTCGACCCCAACAAGAGTGAGGCATCCGGCGTTACTGACGGTTGGTTATGGTGGCTCTAAGCTTTCCGGTGAGTTCTTCAGCCCTTGGCCACAGCCTTCCGAGTCATTCCAGCCTATCAGACATCTAAAACTTTGAAACCCTCCTTTCAGTCCTAAACCATTCATCCGACCCGTTCACCTCCGTCGCTCACCCAAACTACTTCAACCCCATCAAGAGTGAGGCATCCGGCGTTACTGACTGTCATCCGAGCAAGTTCAGTACATCCCGTCGAGTTCCAAAGCTGAAGGCGGATAGGCAGGAGCAATTAGCTCACACAGTCCTTAGCACTCCATATTTTCCGGCGAACTCCGACCAACAAGCATCCAGGAACCACCGAAGTGGTTAAGAGCCTATTTCCAAAAATATGTAATCAGAATACCTCCGCACCTGAGACCCGCCGGAGCCAGGAGGGCCCCGGCGGCGGCGGCCACCGTGAGTGGTGGTGCCAACCCGACCGGAAGAGTCTAGCCTCGAAAGCTAGAGAGAGACGCTCTCAACTTCCAGATCTTACCGAGTTCTTTAGTTAGGAGTGGACTCGGGCCAGGCCAACCGGTCCGGAATCGGACCGGCCCGGTGAACCGGTTGGTTGCCCGATTCGGGCCACCCGACCCGGTGAACCGGTTGGTTGCCCGGTTCGGGCCACCCGGCCCGGTGGGATGGCGGTTCGAGCTCGGGCCCTTCAAAAGGTGAATCGGCCCGGGCCGGGTCAATTTATTATTTTTTTTTTGAATTTTTTTTTAAGTTTTTGGGTTGGGCTGGGTATTTTGGGCCATTTGAGGTGGTTAGGGTTGGTTTGGGGGTGAGGGCGAGGGTTGGGGGTTAACTAGGAAAAGCCAAAAAAAAAAAAATAGAACTGAGGCCCGGCCCGGCCCGGACCCGGGCGTTACCCGGGCTGGTTCCGGGCCTCCTCTTCATGAACCGAGGCCCGGCCGGGCCCGAACCGGAACCGGTCCACCCCTATCTTTAGTAGATCTTACCAAGTTCTGATAATTAACCCCTATTTTTGTCCCATTAGATTTCACCGACTTTCCTTTTTTGTTTGAATAGAAAATTTTGTTACTTTGTTTTTAAATAAATGAATTGTGATTCCGTTTATTTCTGTCCCTTCTACCCAAATATGAATCATATAATTTTTTTATTTTATTTTATAGCCAATGCAAAGAAGTCAATGTCTAATGAAATGGAGAATATATGTTTCGAAATTTCCTCAAGCATGACGCATCATTAAAGTAAATTAGTTACGATAGTATTAAATTGATAAGCATCACAAGCAACTACCAAAGTTGCAGACGAAGTTTGGATAAGGCATGCAAATCTGTTGGAAAGAATCAGCTCCAAAACCGCAATGGAAATTGGAGTATGGTCAAGACTTCCAAAACCTTCCAAAATATGGGGTTTCATGTCTATCTAAATGGTTAAAGATAATATTTCTACATATATATTGACAGAGCAGAGCTCTTTCTCGATAGCAGAATTGGTGGATAATATTAACAATTGGAATTAATTAAGCTGCTTCCCTCTCTTACATAACCGAACCGAACTAATCCAATAATTCCTATTCACAACCATGCACGAAAAGGCCTAGAAATGTTAGATACTTCGTATGAAAAAGGAATATTGACAAAAACAATATTATAAACATTTCATTAGATAAAAATAGGTATTTTTTCACGAATATTACTGAATTAAATTCAAAAGACAAAAATAAGATTTATTTTAAAATTTTCCAAAAAAGTGACATATTCAATTTGGACAAAAAAGAGACTGATAATAAATGAATGGACATGAACACCCTTACTGATAATTTCGGTACGACGGTACTTCATCTCTCTCACCTCATCGTGCTTTATATATATAAAGTGCAGTGTTTTTTAAATAATTTATTAAACTGACTTTTCGATCAAATTTCAAGTTAAAATCGTGTGAAGTAATCTACACTTCATGAAGCTTCATGAAAAACATGCTTGCAAAATTTCTATCAAAAACTTTCACACACCTAAACATCACCTATAAAAAGAAAACAAACATTGTCTTGGGCTAATCAAGAACTTCTTAGAAAGAAAAGGCTTTGGTTTTGAAACTCTTATGTATACAGTATACTAGAGAAGATGGGTTCTCTCACGCCAGGTTGGGATTCACTGGTTTCTGATCCTAAAGCAGGTAATTAAGCACTGGTTTTTTACTCCATTTTAAGTAATTTAATAAGAGAATTGAAGTAGTAGAGCGCTTTTTAACTCCCGTTTTGTTTTGCTCCTTAAATATTCAGTGATGTACAAGAGAAACAAGTCATTAACAAAGGAGGAAATAAATTCTTATTGGAGATCAAAGAAAGAGCAGAAGGAGAAGGAATTGGAGAAGGAAGAGGATCACTACCACCCAAGCTCAAGCTCATCAGGGCAACTACTCAATGATTTCCAGGAGGGTATTGTTGTTGACCCAGCAGATAGTCAAATCAGTCTGGATAAATTGATCCAGACACATGGCTGGTAATTATTTACTTATTGCTTAAACTACACTACACACACACATTTTTAGATTTTCTTTAATAGCTAATTACATTAATTAATTGTTAATGTAATTAGCAATTAATTGTTAAGACTCGAGTTTCCATCCTCAACCTCATACGAGAAGTATCCCATAATCTTATCAGACATCTCATTTGAATCGTGACATCATTCATTTTTCATTAGTTCGTCATTGTCATTTTTTATATAGCATCGTTATTTTTCATAGGGTCACAACCTATTGTTATGGATTGGTTCGTCTCTGTCAGTATGTTAAGATACGGAATTCAATCCTAAAAAATAAAAATAAACCTAATAGAAAGAGTAGCTCATCATATTACTATACCGCTTTATGACTTCATAGTTTATCAATATAGACTTCACTATTAATGGAGGGAATGGATGATTGGGTGTAGGTGGATAAAGAGCAATTGGGCACATCTAAACGAGGCACCACCACCTGAGGAGGAGGCGGTTCACCGGTATGTTTCTCAGTTTCATGTGCCGAACAAGGCTTCTGCTGCTACCTCCGACGGCAGCTCATCAAATCATCATCTTCATGCCTGAATCAGCTCGTGAATGGTGCCGGCTTGTACGTCATGCCCTGGCCACCACGTATTGGATGCTTGTTTTTTTGCAGTCACACTTCTTAATATTTATGTAATGCTGCTATTTGTAATAAGGGTTACTTTTGAAATCTAGAGTTTTTCTAATCAGATAATATGTCTGCATATATAAACTATGAATAAGTTAAGTTAGTGTATGCCAAAATAAAGAAAACAACGTTGGAGAGAATAGTCTATGATTTTTTTTCATTTTCATTCACCCGGTGCCGCAAAGGCTCCCACCTACGGTGGGGTAGGGGGTCAGATGTACGCAGTCTTACCCATGTACTAAAGCACAGAGAGATTGTTTCCGGATGACCCATAGTGAAAATCGTGTCCAAGATTGTATGAACTGACCGCTGCTCCATAACAAAGAAGTGCAAACAGTTTAGTGAGCCATTTTGCTTTATTCCATCATAATCTCAAGCCAAAAAATAATGAATCTTTACATAACAGCTTATATATGCGCCTGTATATTACAAAACGTTGGAGAGAATAGGACACTAGAAACGTTCAGATTATCTTAGAGGCCGTTTGGCAACCCTCATATTCGGTTTATCAGGCTTATCAGCCAACTTATTTACTAAACAAGTAAATTTTGCTTTCGCGTGCTGAATTTTGTAATAAGCCGAAAAAGTAAGGTTGGAGTTAATTTTCTGGCTGTATTGGCTGAAGTTAATGTAGATGACCATTTTAGCTATTTTTACATATAATTTTTTCTTTATTTTATTAATGAAATATATTTTAAAAATATTTTTTTCTTGTATCACCAGAATCAGCCAATGCAGCCACCCACTTCAGCCAGAAATTCATAAATTTCAGCAGAATCAACCAGAACAGCCAATTTTCATGCTGCCAAACGGGCTCTTAGTCTTCCAACATTTCAAAACTAAAACCTTCAACTAGCAAAGCAAAATAATTATTGAATAAATCCTTAAAAATCTATATACATTCATGCCCGCAAGACTTTTAAGACGTTAGATTCACTCTTAGGATATTTTTACTTTACTATTTTCAGTCCCAGTCCAGACGAAATCATAGCGACCACACATCTACCAAACCACAACAGACCAAAAAATCTCAGTCCAATTAAAAACATCCTTAATTTCATTCACCACTTGCAAATTAGTTGGAGTATTTAAAACAAAAACTGCACAACAGCAATTGTTAAATAAACGAGTTATTAGGATACAGATGGACTACATATACTCCGCGCCCAGAGGGGTTCTTGCCGGGGGGGGGGGGGGGGCATGAAAGAACATTAGCCTATTCCAAATGCTACTAATCTTTCTGTACAGCCCTGATTTTATGTCAAAGCAAACTATAGTTTTTCTTCAGCAGACTCAAGAAACACAAATACACAAAAATGCTTCAGAAACAAAAAGATGTGATTCTCCAAACCTCACCCACAGCATGCTATCGCGAACCCACACAACTTTAACCCCTTGATGAGCCCCCACTACTTGCAGCCGATCTCTTCCGACTGTATTTCTGTCAAAATTTAACACTGCTTTATCAAACATTCTGTTTAACTAAGAAAAAATACAGAAACAAAAAGAAAACAGTAACAATAAAAATGAAGAGCTAACTGCTCATGAGTCATGACAATAGAAGTCTATCTCACCAGTTTTCCATGGTCAAAAGGCACATACTTGTACTTAATCATGTGTGTTATCTGACGCTTCATGGTAAGAACAAAAAGCACAATCCAATAACAAAGCAGTATTGGCCAGAAAACCGGGACATCAAAAAGCGAACAGAAGGTCATAAAAAAAGCTACAACAAAAGCCTTTGTGGCTGCATACCTGCATAAAGGAAAATCAATTGACCCTTTGAAGAATGAATAAAGTTTATTTAGGTCATAGGATGAAGAACAGGTAGTTTAGTTTAAACATCTCAGTCCATTAGATTACTGTGTGTGGATCATATCATATCCATACATCCGGTATTTCATTAGCAGTAATAACAAGTTTACATCACACTCTAGGTATGGCTACAAGAAACAAGGCAACAATACATTTTTATACCAGCTCAGTGTAAGCCACCCCTGCTGTATACAAGACTGCCCCTGATATTCAAATTGCAATGACCAAACATTTACGGCCCATTTGGAGCTTGGAAAATACTAGGATAAAAAGGAATAGGAAGGTTTGATGGAAAATAAAAGATTTGGTCAAACAATAAAAGAGTGTTTAAATAGAGATGTTCTTTTCAAATTCAAATTATTTATTTATTAATGAATATAAAGTCTAAGAAATCTAAATGCATGTTAAAATACTAAAATAAATAATCTTTCATTTTCCTTTGTATTTTCAAATATAAAAACCAAACATAAGCAAATAACTTTCCGTAGCATCTGAATACATTATCTTAGCATTTACTGATCCATAAATACCGTTAAAAAGTGCACATGGGAAGTGTGGACATGGAAAAGAGAAGTATAGAACATTAAAAAATCTAGAAGAACTACTTATTGTGGAGGGTCTGCAATGTGAAAACTAATAATCACAGTTCCAATTTTGCACACCAGATCAACAATTGAAATTAAAAAGAGATTCAGGTAGGAAAAAATCATACCTCCTATAGGAAAGAATAGTAGTTCAGAAGGAGAAAACAAATAATATGGAGGCAAAGAAAGACACTACTGTTTTATTTCTGAACATATCCTTCCTCAAACATAAATGATTGCAAGGCTCAATTAATTACTCAACAAGAAAGTCGTAAAAACACATCAAAAGATGGGGAAAACCTAATCGAACATAGAAGAACTACTCTCAGCACAGAAAATAAGCAACAAGAGAAGAAATTTAGAAGCTTTGGCAGTTCATTACAGCTAAAAAACAACAGCTAACTCACCACAACAGGAATTCAGGGAGACGGCGAACAAATGGTATATATTCATCAGAATCTCTAGCATGCCCATCAAGAGCTTCAAGTTCAGGATCATATTTGGGGGATAGGAATCCAATCAGTAGATTCAAAAGATAGGTTCCAACACCATAGGATATGATATGGAAACCACGGACATAGTAAACCCGTAATACATATACTGAGGCAGCCGCTACTGTACCAAGCCATCTCCTATACGTATAAGGAACAGACCTATCCAGGTAGTGCCTGAACATTCTAGAGAATTCTCTTCTCCACTTCACCAGTGGGGCCAGTGTGCTGCCATCATCATCGTCTCCCTTAACTCCTTCCATAATACTATCAGCCTAGCAACTCTTCTCTACAACACACTTCACTAATGTAGATCTGACAACACAAAAACAGGTACTCTTGCATTTCATCTACCGATTGAAGTATTCAACAACCAATAATTAAATTCAAAATACTAATACTTATAATAATTGCAATATTCAATTCAAAATCCTAAATAGAACATAAGAACCGAGCGGGGAAAGTTATATTTAGTTTCTGCATTCAGAACCCTAAATTCGACTTCAATTGTGCTTCAATGGGTACTAAATACCAATCACCGAGAATTGGGCAGGAAAATCACACCCAACAAGCATTTTAACAGCAAACAAATGCTCCACAGAGCTTCTCACGAGTATACTAAAGATTGGTTCGATTGAAATTCAGTGAATCAATATGAATAACGATAAAATAAACCTTACTTACATAAATTTAACGAGACAGCGGAGAAACAGACCTTCGATTTGAGCCAAACGTTGACGGTTGATGCCGCAGATTCGTATAGGCATATGGAACGGAGGTCCTTTTTTAATCTAAGATTCGGTTAACTTTCCCACACCGGCTAAATAGAGAAGAGGGAGGGGAATGATTTGTTATAAAAACGAAAGGCAGCATTGTGGGAATCTCATCTTTGCGCTTGGGGCAATGACGCAGCTAGTGAGGTAATAACCGAGGCGCGTCTATTGCTGGTTGAAAACTATTTCCAAACCCCCTCTTTGGCTTAGGTTCATCCTAAGCTTTGGAGAATTTTTGGAAGGGTTTCTTTCACTAGGAACCCTACAAATTTAGTTCTGAAACTTTGGTATCGTTTAACAATTACTAGTAGTTGAGAATTCCAATGGTTTTTCAAAACCTGATTATTGCAGAGCTTTTACTTTTTTGATTTGACGTAATTTTGCCAGGAAAAGCATGTAGTCCAAATGTCCAATTGGAACATTTACAATGACAATCATGGTTATAGTTTTAGGGGAGGGAGTTGTCAAATTTCTTCATTTTTTGTCTCACCTCATTCTGTGACAAATGAAATCGAGATGGAGACCTCTCTTAAAATGGGAGTAAACAATGCACTAGTTCCACAAAACTTGGTGATTTTTCATTTTTTGGTGGTTTCAATTTTTTTTTGCCTTTTCGGAGAGGGTCATGAGCTTAAATTTTTGTCAAAATGATGTTCGTGGTTTACCTCCGTTATCGCCAGAGGGGTCTCAGCCTACTCCCGTTATAATTTAATGACGTGGCACGTTATTCGGCATAAATGGCAGCCGTGTGGGGTTCAATTCATCCAGCTCAGTAAACATTTTGAATTAAAGCCAAAAAACACTTAAGTATGTCTTAGAACGCAAAACGACGTTTTAGGAGGTTTTAGGACGCCAAAAGAACATGCATCTCTGCAGCCCAGTCCCAGCAAGCCTGTTAGGGTTTCACAGTAGCGGCCCAAAGCAGAAGCCCAGCATTCTTTTCTTCAGTGCCGCGCATCCAATTCAAATTTTGAAATTCGAATTGCTACAGTGACAGGACACGGACAACTGAAGCACACAGTCCAATCGCAGCTAGCCATGTCAGTTCGCCGTTGACTATCCTAGTACCTCCTGCCGGCGAAGCTCCGGCCAGTCACTCGCAGCCCACGAAATTGATCCCAAATTCAACCACGCCCGCACGCAGTTACACACCGGCACAAAGTCTCCGGTACCCGTCATCCACTCCCCCCCCCACCCCCTACCGGTACCGGCATCCACCGGCGGGAACGGTGGAAGAGAACACAACACCAGCCGGTTTCGAAGCGCCAGGCGGTTTCAATTCCCGGCATGCCGGTCATCTTCTCCAGCGAAAAGCTGAACGCTATCCAAATTCACAAAAACACCACCCAACCTAAGTCCAGAAGAAAATGAAACGGCCATCTCTGTTCGCTCATCCCCAACCGAACGTCTTCTCCGGCATCCAAACAATACCATTCCGGCACCTTCCCGGAAAACACTCAAACAAAACCAGAAAGCCCTACCCTCATGTCCAAACTATCCTCCATGAATCCCTGGGTCTCATGAGCAGCTTGAGAGGAGGGACGCAGACCGATACCTATGGAACCCAAACACAACCAGTCCAAACCCAATGCTCTGCCAAGAATGACAAGCTGCGAGCATCGGGAGTTTTCACCCATGGACGAGTACCCACAACCACCAATAAATTAAAAATAATAATTATAATAGCAATAATTCATTCAAGACCCTAATAAGAGTCCAAGAACAGAGCGGGGAAAGTATTACGGAGTAATTTATTCTTGCATTCAAAACCCAAAATTTGATATCAACTGGAAATTCATGAATAATGCTAACATACGGTCATAAACCATACATGACTTTACGGAGACTGGAGAACAGGCCTTGAATTTGAGCCAAAAGTGGATGCTCGGACAGATTCATTCATAAAAGTATGTGGATGGAGTTTTTTTAACAAACGTTGAATGCCTGAGTCAAGTCACGTTATGACTTCTGAGTGGATTTCCCACACCGGCTAAAAAGAGAAGACGGTAGGGAATGAGTAATTATAAAAACGAAAGGCAGCAATGTGGCAATCTCATCTTTGCGCTTGGGGCAATGACGCAGCTAGTGAGGTAATAACCGAGGCGCGTCTATTGCTGGTTGAAAACTATTTCCAAACCCCCTCTTTGGTTTAGGTTCATCCTAAGCTTTAGAGAATTTTTGGAAGGGTTTCTTTCACCAGAAACCCTACAAATTTAGTTCTGAAACTTTGGTAACGTTTGACAATTAGTTGAAAATTCCTATGGCTTTTCAAAATCTGATTATTGCGGAGCTTTTACTAGTTTCACAAAACTTTTCCATTTTTTGGTGGTTTCTATTTCTTAAAATAACAAATACGGAGTACTATCGGCCGTATTAATTATATGTACTTTACTTTAATTACATTTTATTTTTTAAAAAACAAAACATTGTTAAATTCATCTCATTACAAAGTTTTATAATCTGTTTTTTATTTTATTTTTATTAATACAGAATTAAATATAATGACGGTCAAAGTTGTGCGTTGGCAACATGAAATATTGATTGTTGCAACTAAAAAGAGACTGTGGGAAATATGTGATTAACATTATTTCTCTCTCATCTGCACAAATATCAACCGCACATTTTTTATTTTATTAATCTCATGCAAATCAACATTGACCAAATTTTATGGGACAGAAAGAGTAGTATTATAAGCAATGTTCTAAAAGGCGTTAGGCGCTCGTCGGACGCTAGCCCAGCGCCTAGCGCCAAGGCGGCTAGGCGGACGCCTAGTTGGGGACATAAAAATTGCATTTTTATGTGTATAAAATACATATATACACACACATTAATAGTTTTTCACATTTAATCATACGTAGTATATAATAACTAATCCTTAACTTTATTATGTTTTAAATATAAATAATAATAATAAAATTTACGTATAATACAATATATAGTTTTTATCTTAATTTAAAACTTCATTTATTTATATCTGTGGCTAAATTTAAAGTACATATATCGCTTAGAAAATTAAAATTAAAAAAACAAAGTAATGTTTGGTGAATCTAGACGGTCCAGGCGGCCAATTAGGCGCTCTAGGCGGGCAACTAGACGCCATAGGCAACAACCTAATTCACCTAAACGACAAACCAATTAGTCGGAGCGTCTAGACAAAAATCGAGGCGCCTGATCACCGCCTAGCGCCTAGGCGGGGACTAGTCGGACGCCTAGAACAATTTTTAGAACAAAGATTATAAGTAGATTTTATCAATTCAAGACCTAAAAGATAGATTAATTATCGAAAATTATCCTAAACAGGGCTAGTGATTCTCTAAAAAGCACACAAATATGACTACTAATTTTTAAATTTCCCAAATAGAACTAAACATTGATTTTCTTCCCTAAATACCCCTAAGGGTATAATCCATGATAAAATAAACCTTACTTGCATAAATTTAATGACACATTGGAGAAACAGACCTCCGATTTGAGCCAAACGTTGACGGTGATGCCGCAAATTCGTATAGGCATATGGAATGGAGGTCTTTTTTTAATCTAATATTCGGCTAACTTCCCCACACCAGCTAAATAGACAAGAGGGAGGGGAATGATTTATTATAAAAACGAAAGGCAACATTGTGGAAATCTCATCTTTGCGCACTATGATTGTTGACGCAGACACATCGTACCGTACCATCAGATTATCCACCGGACTAGGAATCTTTGACATCTCATCTGCTTCAACACTTGTCTACCACGAACCTTCTTCCATCACCGAGCAAAGCACAAATCCGCGATCAATCTTAACACTAGCGAAACAAAAAGTTCGGTCTCGTAGCCGTCCTATCTACCGGAAAGCAGCCGCACTCAATGGCGGAAAAAGCTAAACCCTAAGAAGGGAGATGTCCACGGAACTTGACAATTTTCCCTTTCAAATATTTTTTTATTCTGAATTTGCTTATTAAGCCGTTTATCAGTTTCGGTTAGGAATGAGTTGGAAGAATTATTAACAAACAAAAATCATACTAACTCCGTCCCGAAATAATCGTCCTGGTTTGACCTTCCCACAGATTAAGAAAGTGAATTGACTTCACGCTGTAGCGACACTGTTTGGCACTGTAGCGACAATGTTTGACACTGTTTTGCACTGTTTGACACTGTTTTGTATAGATTTGTTTACCAAATAAGGAAAGGAGACAATCATTTCGGGACGAATCGAAAAGGAAAGGACAATTATTTCAGGACAAAGGGAGTACTATTTTTTGGTTTGGATTTGTTATTTTACACTTCGTAATAATTATTGAAGATTTCATTGAATTTCTTTAGTTCGGCTAAGTTTTTATGTTTAATACGATTTGGAAAAAATGCTACCAAACTCAAACTGATATGCCCACTCCTAATTTGTACCATGAAAATAAGGGAAATTGGTATTTACCTTTTGATAGTTTAACTTTTGCATTTAGAAAGTCGATTAATTGTTCCTCATATATATTTTAAAATAACAACTATCAAATATTTAAAACATGCCAACATCATGATCGTAATCCCCTAATCCAAATCGTAAAAAACCGCATTAAGAACATTAAGTTCAATTCAAGGGCGCTAGGAAAGTATAGCTAGCCTGCAAAGCTCCCAAATTGCAGTGAAAATCATCGCAAACACTGACTCGATTTTATTTTATTTAATAAATGTGTAAAATGCAATCATAAAACCCACATAAATATGTTTCTCCAGTTTTATCCGTAATTTCATTACCCTTGAAATGGACAAATTGTTTGGGAGATTTTGAAACAAAAATGAAGAATTAATTAAGCTTTTGGAACTAGAAAAGAAGATATTTAGAACATTATAGAACAATATAGGTAACAAATTAACTTGATAGGAACATAGGCAAATAATATAGCAACCACTCATATGTTGGAGTGTTTTTTTACACTAATAACTTTAATGTAATTAAAGATTCAAAAGTACTAATTATTTTGTGTTTCTCAATTCGCCTACCTGTTATTCTATTTTACCCCACTATAAAAGCTCATCTCTTTCATAATTTTCACTACTCAATTCAATTATTCCATGGCTAATTATCTTTCCTTGTATATTTTCAAATAAGCTATTATAGTTCAAATATTTACGGTTAACACAATGTATATGTTCTAGGGGTGGACTGGGTCCGGGCGGCCCGACCACGGACCGACCCGGGTCCTGTACTGTTTGGTATCGAACCAGGCCCGGTTTTCTGGTACTGGTATCGGCCCGGTACCCGAACTGTGGTTGAATAGGGATGTGCTTCAGTCTTGAATTTTGGGGCCCGGTCCAGGCCAAACGGCTCGATTTAAAAAAATAGAATAATGGGCGGGTACCAGTCTGGG